GGTCGCGGCCATTTTAAACATACGAATGCACAGCGGTGTTCGCCCCTATTTTCATGGAACTAAAATCGGACACAGTTTTGCGCGAACACCACTGAAGCCGCCGACCTCCCTTCTTGTTCGGTGGAAGTGCACGAATGGCCCGGTGTTCGGTAGTTTTGGTTGAATGTGTTATACCCCAGATAGGAATCCCATGGAACCCATTCGTATGAAACTGACTGTAAAGACTTTGGCTCCATGGCGATTAAACTGTATTCGGGTGGTCTGAGCGCCATTCGCTTAATAATGTGCGCTCAGACCTGAGCTATCTGGGGATATGTTACATGTCTGTGTTTTATGTAATAAATGTTACTTTATGTATTTTAAAGTATAATCCTGGTTTTGTATCCCCACATGTGTAATGGAGTTTTGCCTTTGTCTTGGGAGATAATTTAATTACTTCCCACTTATCTCCCAGGGCAGAGGGGAGGAAGCCAGGATGCATTGTGGGAATATATTGTGACTGTATGTCCTATTTGTCTACTTGTCTGTCTTTTGTCACAGTCTCCCATTTGGTCCCCTAGGGGAGTGTCCACCAGGTGGGAGACCTGCATAAATACTGGGCAGGTAGCCCTCATTAAACATACCAATGCTTGACCCTCAACACGGAGCCTTGTCTCGTCTTTGGGGGGATTTACTGTATGCTGCTAAGAACTGATTGCCAGGAGTATAAGCCGCTTGGGAGCTTTTCCTGTTCGTCTGGTAGCAGCAATTCGTATGGTTCCTGTTCGTGTATTTGGAGTGCTACCTTATTCCCTTGTATGCCGTTCGGGAGTTTGGAGCATTCACTTGTATGCAGTTCGGGAGTTTGGAGCATTCACTTGTATGCAGTTCGAGAGTTTGGAGCATTCACTTGTATGCAGTTCGAGTGTTTGGACCATTCCCTTGTATGCAGTTCGAGTGTTTGGAGCATTCCCTTGTATGCCGTTCGGGAGTTTGGAGCATTCACTTGTATTCAATTTGTGAGTTTTGGTGATTCTACAGTAGCTGTGCCTGTCTCTGAAAGGGGATTATCGTCTAAGCGTTTTTTTCCCTTTTGTGCAAAACGGTCCGTTACACATGTTAACATCCTCTGTTATCTTCTCCCCATCTTTCTCCTCCCCCAACCCCCTTCTCTTTCTCTATGTCTCCCCCATAAAATAATACTTCATAAGATTGAACATTTCATCTTCTGTCTCTGACCTACCTCTCCTTGTTCCCAATGTCCCTTAAAGGACCACTCTAGGCACCCAGACCACTTCAGCTTAATGAAGTGGTCTGGGTGCCAGGTCCTTCTAGGCTTAATCCATTTTTTCATAATTATAGCAGTTTCAGAGAAACTGCTATAATTATGAATGGGTTAAGCCTTCCCCCTAATCCTCTAGTGGCTGTCATTGACAGCCACTAGGCACCCCTTTTACGATATCTCACTGTGATTTTCACAGTGAGAACGCATAGCGATCCATAAAGCTTGTGTAAATGCTTTCCTATCGCGGCAATTGGGCATCTTGTGGCGCAGCTCTTGCCATGGCGATGCGCATTCAGCAGTGAGAGCAGAGAAGGAGGAGGAGAGCTCTCGCTGGCAGCTGGAAAAGGTAAGTTTAAACCCCTTTCCCCCTTCAGAGCCGGCGAGGAGGGGGACCCTGGTGGGGCACACTCAGGGGCACTATGGTGCCAGGAAAACGAGTATGTTTTCCTGGCACTATAATCAGTCCCCTTTAAAATACTCTCTTCTAGCTCAGATTTCATATCTCTTCCCCCTGCCTCTATTCCCCTGGACCACATCCCCAGATTCTATCTCTCTTCCCCCATGCCTCTATCCACCTGGCCAACCTCCCTGATTTCCATGTCTCTTCCCCGTGGCCCACCTTCCCAGATTCCAACCCCCCCCACCTCTATCCACCTGTCCCACCTCCCTACATTCTATCTCTCTTCCCCCCGCCTCTTTCCCCATGGCCCACCTTCCCAGATTCCATCTCTCTCCCCCTCTGCCTCTATCGACAATTCGGCAATTTGGTTTGGTTCGGCACTTCTGAAATTCGGACATTCGGAAGCATCTGAATGTCCGAATCGCCGAAATTCGTCCAAATTTACATTCGGAACGAAACAAACTGCACATGTCTAATTGGTAGAGTATTCATCCACATCCATGAGATTCTGTACTTCTTTTCTTAGTTTGTGCAAACCATCTTCCTGGAAATAATTATCTTCCTCACAAGAGATGCTAGAATCTCTAGACGATGATTCATCTGTAGAAGGCTCAGAACTTGAATTTGTCTCCATTTTCTTGAATTCTCAATTTGTTTGTGCTTCCTCTTATTGGAAAATGGAAAATCTAGCCTCTGACTTATGGGGCAAATCAACCTGTGGCATAGACTGAGCATAATGCAAAGCAGATACTCTGGTATCCAAAAAAGCCTGAAGAAGGTTACTCTGCGACCACGAGAGGAAGGATGAAACCTCAGATTTCTTAGATTCCTCTGCTGCTTCCTTAGCGCATGTGTTACAGTGCTTTCTCTTGTACCCATCAGGTAAAGGGTGCGAACAGGCAGAGCAAATTAAATGTATTGTCTTGGACAGACATTTTCCTTTTTCTGCAGGTTTATCCACAGGTTCAGGATTGGACATACTGCAGAAATATGGAAGAGAAAAAACATTTGTTATTTGTAAATAAAGTTAAAATTGAATTCAGGCAAGAAACATAGAATGTGACGGCAGATAAGAACCATTCGGCCCATCTAGTCTGCCCAATTTTCTAAATACTTTCATTAGTCCCTGGCCTTATCTTATAGTTAGGATAGCCTTATGCCTATCCCACGCATGCTTAAACTCCTTTACTGTGTTAACTCTACCACTTCAGCTGGAAGGCTATTCCATGCATCCACTACCCTCTCAGTAAAGTAATACTTCCTGATATTATTTTTAAACCTTTGTCCCTCTAATTTAAGACTATGTCCTCTTGTTGTGGTAGTTTTTCTTCTTTTAAATATAGTCTCCTTCTTTACTGTGTTGATTCCCTGTATATATTTAAATGTTTCTATCACATCCCCCCGTCTCGTCTTTCCTCCAAGCTATACATGTTAAGATTAGTGATGTACCGAACTGTTCGCCAGCGAATAGTTCCCGGCGAACATAGCGTGTTCGCGTTCGCCGCCGTGGGTGAACACATGCGCGGTTTGATCTGCCCCCTATTCGTCATCATTGAGTAAACTTTGACCCTGTACCTCACAGTCAACAGACACATTCCAGCCAATTAGCAGCACACCCTCCCTAGCAGACCCTCCCACCTACTGGACAGCATCCATTTTAGATTCATTCTCAAGCTGCATGCTTAGTGAGAGGAGGGAAAGTGTAGCTGCTGTTGATTAGATAGGGAAATGTATAGCTAGGTTAGGGTATACAGTGTCCACTACAGTCCTGAAGGACTCATCTGATCTCTGCTGTAAGGACAGCACCCCAAAAAGCCCTTTATAGGGCAAGAACATCAGTCTGCTTTTTTTTTTTTTTTTCTGTGTAATGTAATTGCAGTTAGTTGTCTGCCACTGCTGCCAGCTTCTGTGTCAGGCTCACAGTGGATACTGTGCCCATTTGCCCAGTCAGTGCCACCACTCATATCTGGTGTCACAATAGCTTAAGCTTGACATTTAAAAAGAAAAACATTTTTTTCACTGTAATAGATTGAATAGCAGTTAGTTGTCTGCAAGCGTCTGGGTGTCAGTCCTCCTTCAGCGTGTGCTCTGCAGACCTCTGCCCGTGTACTTTGCCACTCATATCTGGTGTCTCTATAGCGTGCTTTTACAAAGAAAAAAAGTTTTTCAGTGTAAGCTAATAGCAGTCATTGTCCTTAAAGCGGGTGTCAGGCCTCCTTCAGCGTGTGCTCTGCAGACCTCTGCCCATGTACTTTGCCACTCATATCTGGTGTCTCTATAGCATGCTTTTACAAAGAAAAAAGTTTTTCAGTGTAAGATAATAGCAGTCAGTGTCCTTAAAGTGGGTGTCAGGCCTTCAGCGTGTGCTCTGCAGACCTCTGCCAGTGTACTTTGCCACTCATATCTGGTGTCACAATAGCGTGCATTTAAAACCAAAAAACTTGTTTCACTGTTATAGATTGAATAGCAGTTAGTTGTCTCAAAGCGGGTGTGTCAGGCTCACAGTGGATAATGTGCCCAGTGCCACCACTCACTCACTGGTGTC